AAGTATTTCGCCTAGTAAAACAAACAAACAAACAAACCTGTTTGTGACTGGAGTGAGAGATTAAGCAGTGCATCTATCATAGCCCACAGCATGAACCTTCCAGCTGTTTGCATTGTCAATGGAAAAAGATCTGTACAGTTTACACAATCTTGCTTGTTCTTGACTGAAAGTCTACTAAGTGTTGTGAGTGGTACTTTTGTAAGCATTCAGCAAGGCCTAACTCTGCTCTCATTGAAATCAATTGGGAATTTTACCATTGAATTCAATGCGAGCAAAGTTAGACCAGTGCTGAGTGCTTTTGAAAACCCGATGCTGTGAATGGCAATGTCCTTTTGTTACCAAGAGAATACCTTTGAAGGTTTAGATTGCAGGGCAGCACAAGCAAATGTGAGTCCCAATGTCGTTCTCAGCCCAGCGTGCTGTTGCCCTGATATTTGGGCATGAGGCAGGAGAATGTTTTAATTGTTCATTAACTGTCTTATTCTGACATCCATATATAATAGTGGTTTCTGAATGCCATCATGGTGGGGAAATAAGCTCAAGAAAATGTAGAGATTTTGATGAGATTGCCATCCATTTCCCTTGCACCTGTCTGCAACTAGCTCCTCCAAAAACTGAAAACATGACATGGCTCCTATGCTTCAGTGTGATCAGGCCACTTTACCTGTAAGTGATGTGAGGGTGTCCATATCAGAAGAAGGGGAAGGTGTGGCAGCCTTTCCTATCAAGCTCAGAGGGAGGGGAGGACATAGGAATGGAGTAAACTGCTGGCCCTAGTCAGAAAGCTGTTATCTTCAAGGATGTCCTCTTGGCCGGGGTTCCCTTTGGATATGAAAGCACATGGCAGATTTAAGATTGGATACTCAGCAATTGTACCGTGAAAATAAACTGAGCTTCTGGAATGTTGAAGCTGCTCAGTGGTCTCTTCTGCAAGTACATGAATACAGATAATTGGGGCCTTACTAACTGGCTTATATCTCCCAAAGACTAGGGGGCAACATGTAGTAACATTAATTTCCCTGTATTGCAGTAACCGTCTCTGTAATAGTGGAGGAGCTGCAAAATTCTCCAAAGCAGAGAAGCAAAGCTGAATGCTTAACATCTGGGACTCTACAAGAAGCTGTGTGACTCTGAACACTTCCTCCCATCCCCTCATCTTTCCCTTTTACCCTCAGTCTCTGAAAGGCAGATTTGCTAACGTGTGTGGTGTAAGAAATTGGGCCTCCAATTATCTGCTGTCATGTCTCAAAGCAAGAAATATGGACAGTGAAGTGGTTGCACAGTGAGTTCTGAAGGCACAATGAATGTGTTTCCTAAGTCTCCCAACCTTGCATAATATTCACAGAAATCCCAGGCTAGCATTGCTAACACTTCACCTCATCAGTCCTCCATCCCCCTTTTTAGCTGTCAGCTTAAAATGTCTTTTTCTTCCCTTGTTTCATTATGCATCTATCTCATTTTCAATCATTGGCCTGAGTTTATTCACCCTGTAATTTCTTTACATCACTGCCATATACTATCTTGTATTATTTAAGTCTGTGAAGCATTTGGGGTTCAAGTTTATAGGAAAAAAATTATAGTGGCCAATCCTACAGTACGTACTCAGGCATAATTCCTGTTGGTTTCAATGGCAGTTTTACCCGTGTAAGGACTACAAGATCAGGCCTAAGGAGGTGTCATATAATTTACAAGCCATTGCTTCCAAAGTCAAATTAGCTGAGGAGGAAGAAATTTCTGTGCTCTTCTGACCCACAGCTTTGCTTTAATTTCTTGGAATTCAAGTTCCATTCCGGAAACTGGAGTGATAGTCTGGGTGGGGAGGTCAGAAGGTCAGTCAGTCAAGGTGAAGTTGGCAAGGAGATGCAGCGGGCTAAGACGTGATTTGCTGGCCCAAACTGGCTAACTGTGTCCAATAGATGGGTCCAAATCCTTCAGCAAGATGAAGAATAAATGAAGAGGCCTTTACTATCAGAGGGCTAAGAAGGAATGGTTGAGCAGATGGATGAAGACTGCCAGAGAAATAAGGATCTAAAAATTAACAGTCTGGCAGGTACTGGTAGCCTAATTATGCTCCCTTTGAGGCAGAGGATAAGCCAGAAGAACCCCTGTGTTGCTACCGATAAACCAAAGGTGAAGTAGGTTTAGCATATGTGGACAGAGCACAAAAAGGTGTTCACTGCTGATAGGCCTCAATCTGCTACCTTCAGGCCTTTGAAGAGATACCATCTAATTAAGCCAACCAATTATTCAAGTGAAAGGGTCCTTTATTAGCTCTTTAAAGGGGGGGGTCCTGGCAAAAGAGACAGTGCCTCTTAAATACATTCTCCCATCCATTAACTCTAATTGGTCCATTAAGATAAAACTAATTGTTGTGTGCCACTGAAAAGCCTATATTAAGGCCGCTTTACATTAAACCCCCATGGGTCCCATGAAAGCAGAGTTCTTGCAGGATAATTAAAAGTGTACTATCAGCTATAAATAACTTTGTCGGCCTGAACAACAAACCATAAACTATTGGATTAGATTTGTAACAACAACAAAAAAGCAATTGCATTTTTAATGGTATGGTATATATACACTGTATTATTTAGCAGTGAAGGAAAGAGGATTCTGGAACGGCCTCAGAATTGTGATACCAATCTCTCACTCTATAAATCTCAAATATAAATATAAGATCAACCAGGGTGTATGTGGGAGATAACACATTCCTGGCATATTCTGCATCAAGGATGGACCTGGTAATTTGAAATCTGTACATGCACTGGCCAGTCTCTCACACCTCATCTCCCTGCCTCTATTTGGAGCTGAGCTCCTTCCACAAGGTGTTGAGTACCATTACATCTCACGGACTTCATCCTATGTCCTATAATCACCACCCAAGGTAAATCTGCTGCTATGCACAAGGGGCCCAGTTCAACCCTGGTTTAACTCCATTGAAATTGACTTTTGGCCCATATGGTTGTGAACAGATTAGCTCAAGGAAGTCTGGGCATGTGCCAAATAAAGTAATAATCGTAAACTCAACTCTGCCGGTCATGGTAATCAGAAACATTACTTCCAGGAAATTTAGAATTGTACCTTGTGGAATAAATGGCATATGCATTCTTACATCCATGCTTCGAGTGATACTGCATGTTTTCAGTTTAAAGCAATTTTTATACAAAAAGTCTCAGGTTTTACAAAAGGAATTATTATTTTTTTTCTGATTTTCACCCTACTTTTGTATTGTTCAAATATATAAAAAATAATTTGTTTTATTAGGAAAATATAATACATTGCATGAGATATATGTATTACGATAATACATTAGTCTGTGCTTAGATGCAAAGCTGCCTGTTGAAGTAAGGCTATGTATTAGTCTAGAAGATACACACAATAAACAAACAGGCTCTGAAATGCATGTGCATCTGAACGTACTGATGAATCTGACCATGTACACATTTCAAGCTGTTAGCAGATAACAGTTTAAAGATCTGATACACTAAAATGGGAAATGTGATGGGCACCTGCCCCACATTGGGCTCTAAGGGATTAATAGAGCCCTAGGGAGGCTGTGCAGGAGGCAGCCAATCAGAGAAGGGCTGAGGGGAGCAGCCAATCAGGACCAAGCAGACCCATATAAAAAGAGAGCTGCAGGGCAGAGGAGGGCAGTTCTGTGGTGGGAGCCCAGGGGGGAAGGACTGTGTCTCTGGAGAACTGCCAGCACCCTGGACAGAGCAGTGCTGCTAGCAGGGACCAGGGGAGTGAGAGACTGCTCCTGGCTGGTTGCTAGGGTTTGCAGGGTGGGGCCCTGAGGCGAGGGCAAAAAGGATGCAGGAGCCACAAGAAAGTGACCAGACAGTTTGCTGTGGTAGCCATTAATGGAAGTGGCTGAACAGTGGACTGCAGGTCCCCCGGAAGGGAGGAGCACAGTGTGTGTCATGGCTGGAGGGCTGTGTCACTGAAGAGGATGCCACGATCCTTGGAGGGGCATGGGTTCTAGAGCAGGAGCGATGGTGGCGAGGCACCACCCAAAGAGGGCACATTTACAGGCAGAGCTAATTCCCAAGACAGCCAGCAGGAGGCACCACAGTGGTGAGTGAACCCCGTTACAGGAAGAAAACGAAAATCTGTATCAGAATATATTTCAGAACACAAGGAAGTATTCAAAAATTAAAAAAAAAAACAGGAGGAAAGGATGAAGTTGAGTGTGTGCGCTGCAGATGGTATGGCCTGATTATTAAATGTAAATATTTATAGGCTAATAATTCTAAGTCAACAACAGGAAACTGTTTATTCGAATGAAAAGTTTTATTTGGGGATTAGAGATTTATTGTTTTCTTAAACTCCGAGGTGACATTTTGTTTTGAGTTCTGTTCTAATTCTGCAGCAAACCACACTGAATTCCATTCATCAAAGCATTAATGTACTGAATACTTTTTCCCCTTGTTCTGCCATCCACAAAAATAAACTCCAGTATTTACCCAGAAAAAATATTAATAGTTTTTTCCACCAATTTTCACCTGTTTTTGTTGTTGGAGTAATAAACCCTGATAAATTCCAGGGGAAAATTAAAATAAAACCCCAAAATGAAGGGCCTCAAGTATGTGGAAGACACCCTTCAGCACTCTTATTCTGATTACAAAGTCACTCTCTGAAACATGTCCAATTGATAGGAAAAATGATATCAAATTAAAATGTGTTTACAACTCATCAGATTGCTGGGAGGATGTACTGTGAGGGATGAGGAACCAGGGTTACCCACGAGTAGAAGTACCAAACAACAAAGCTTCACTCACTAAGAAATCAGCTTACATAAATCCAATGTGCCTTCTATTAATTTGTACATTTATAGATAAGCTCAAGGTGCTCTCTGAAGGGCTAATGAGCACTTAAGGGCTCAAATGAAGACTTAAGTGGTGTGTGGGACTTGTGCTGGCTCTCTGCAATGTGCTGGATTTTACACCTTTAAAACCTTGCAATGCAATATGCCAGTTTTGCATTTCATCTGCAAAGCTCACCTGCTATTGCATCCAAGTAGTTGCTTAGTTGCTTCAAATTCACCTTGCTCTGGGTTTTGCATTTCCCACTTGCGGTCTCCTGGCCTATGCAAAGAATGACATTTATAACATCTTAAAGGGCATCATGTTTTGAAAAGTAACACCCTGAAAGGGGTTCTTTGTGATGACATTAATCAAAGACACCCTGTCACATTGGGTAGGTATAAATTTCACCTACAGTACCATACATAGTTTGTATTGGCAAAGTCTATGGCTATATCTACACCACATAGCAATGTTCCCTTTAATTTTTTACATCCATGTGTGGAATGAATTTTGTTATATGCACCAATATGGAGGTGATGTGTGGCGGGGGGTGGGGCAGAGGGGTTTGAAGTGTGGGAGGGGGGTCAGGGCTGGGGCAGAAGGTTGAGGTATGGGGGGCATGAAGGCTCTGGATGGAGTGTGAGCTCTGGGGTGGGGTTGGGAACGAGGGATTTGGGGTGCAGGAGGGGGCTCAGGGCTGGGGCAGAGGGGTGCGTTGTGGAGGGATGAGGGCTCTGGCTGGGGGTGCAGGCTCTGGGGTGGGGCTGGGGATGAGGGATTTGGGGTGCAAGCATTGGGGAGGACTCCCCCACAGCCCTCTCTCACTGCAGCAACCCAGGGCTGGGGAGAGGCACACCTCTCTGCATGCTGGTGCGTCCCTTGATAGTCTGCTGCATGGCCGTGCAACTTAGAGGGAATTTAGCTACCTAGTTCGCCCAGATGATTGGCACTTGAGTCTGAACACCTGGGACAGCTTAGCCCAGGTGTGAGTGTTCCCGGGACAAAGCCATACCCACATTACTGTGTCCTTACTGTTTATGCACTCACTTGTGTGTGGGGGAGCATAATCCCATGATTCTTTGTGCTGAGATGCTCTAGGAGTCTTTCACAGACAGTTGGAGAACAACCTGTCTGTCATTCAGGGGAAATTATGGGAAGGCATTGGAGGGCTGTCAGCACTCAAGTGGTTTAGTCTGGATTGTGCAAAGTGGGTGGGTTCCAGTGTGAGATAAAGCAGAGCTAGGGCTCCAACCTCCCCAGCCCTGTAAGGCTTAAAGCACCTCCAAAACTGGGCCAGAAGCTTTGTGTGTGTACAACAGGGGGGTTAAGACTAAAACCTGGGTAAGGACCCAAGCTAACTGTGCAATGTAGACATACCTACGATGAACCTCAGTAATGACTCAGCATGCATGCATCAATCAGGGTTTCCTGGCTGCAATTCAGATTAATGATCACACAGGTTTGACTGCCCTTCTGTGGCGGTGCAATGGGGATTACAGACCCCGCACTAAGGTTAATGGAGTGGTGGAACAGTACTGGGCCAAGGAGGCATTGTCCCTCAGCAGCTGAAACACATGCTCCCTTCAGAGGACCTGCTTAAAAGGGAGCTCCAGCAGTTAGCCAGCGGGAGAGTAATGGAGGGACTGGCTGTAAGAAAGCAGACGCTGCTGAAGTAGAGTGATCTACAGGGGAAGGACTAGGGCTGTGAGTAAGACTCAGCCAGGAGGGCGGGGGCCTGACCCTGCTTCTTTTCCCCCTTCTCCCTGACCAGGGTGCACAAATGGAATAGAATCATAGAATCATAGAATATCAGGGTTGGAAGGGACCCCAGAAGGTCGTCTAGTCCAACCCCCTGCTCAAAGCAGGACCAATTCCCAGTTAAATCATCCCAGCCAGGGCTTTGTCAAGCCTGACCTTAAAAACCTCTAAGGAAGGAGATTCTACCACCTCCCTAGGTAACGCATTCCAGTGTTTCACCACCCTCTTAATGAAAAAGTTTTTCCGAATATCCAATCTAAACCTCCCCCACTGCAACTTGAGACCATTACTCCTCGTTCTGTCATCTGCTACCATTGAGAACAGTCTAGAGCCATCCTCTTTGGAACCCCCTTTCAGGTAGTTGAAAGCAGCTATCAAATCCCCCCTCATTCTTCTCTTCTGCAGGCTAAACAATCCCAGCTCCCTCAGCCTCTCCTCATAACTCATGTGTTCCAGTCCCCTAATCATTTTTGTTGCCCTTCGCTGGACTCTCTCCAATTTATCCACATCCTTCTTGTAGTGTGGGGCCCAAAACTGGACACAGTACTCCAGATGAGGCCTCACCAATGTCGAATGGAGTCTGAGAGTGAACTGGAAAGCCCCCGTGCTCCCCAGCTGAGGCTCTGAATTACTGTGACTGCAAGGCGAAGGCTGGGCCATGCCCCAGACTGAAGGGAAAACAGGGAAGGTAGGAAGTGGCCAGGAGAGGCTGATCTGGAATAGCAGTCAGAAGGGACTGAGCCACTCCTCATCTCTCTCCCTGGGCCGGGACCCAGTGGAGAGGGAGAGCCTGGATCCCTCTACTCTTCCCCCTGGCTGCCTGAGAGATTCCGGAGGACTCCGCCGGAGCGGCAATGAACTGTGCCTTGGATGCTGGGCCCCTGCATTGCCCGGAACAACTGTCCCAGACTCAAGAGAGACTGTTTGCCTGTGGTTTGACCACTAGACCCGCTGGCCCCAGAGTGAAGCCTGTTATGAAGCGTTGGTGAATGCGGGCAACCTGGAAAAAGGAGAGTGAGCTAAAGATGGGCTGTGGATCTGCAGCACCACCAACAGCGGCAGCAGACCCCATTGCTCCAGCAGCTGGCCGCCCAGCAACACCCCCAAGCCTTGCAGCAGCTTATCAGGGAATTAGCAGCCCAGCAAACAGATCAGCAGCAACAACTGGTGCAGCAGATGGCCACACTGTTTCATCCCCAGAGTGCACCAGGGAGGTCAGCAGTGGGCAATGCTATCCCAGGCCCATCCCCGAGTCCTCCACTAAAGCTAACAAAAATGGGGCTGGAGGATGACCTGGAGCTGTTCCTAGTAACAGTTGCCATGGGCACCATCTATCTGCCGTGCATCGATGGGGATATGTGCCCTTACCCTACAAAGAAGTTGCAGTTGAGGGTGCAAGACCACAATGAGGATATCTGGGTGGGCATAGCCTTAAACCTTGTGTATCCAGTGATAACTGGGAGAGATTGGAGATCTTTTAGAGACCTGATGAGGTCTGAGAATGGGGAGCCTCTGAAAGGGACAGACAGTGATGCTGGAGATGGGGAGACAACCGAGATGCAAGCCTTACCAGGCAAAGGCAAGGAGGAAGACCCAGGAGAAGGAATATCGCCTCCCGCGGAAGACGGCTCGATGGGGGCGGAAGAGACTTGCCCCAATGGAGACAATAAAGTGAGTCAGCAGTGATCGACATGTTGTCCGACAACATGGATTTTGTGGAAGAACAAAGAAATGACCCAATGAGATGAGCCTACGAACCCCAAGGAGTTTCTGCTCCACCCCATGAAGGCGATGGCCCTTGGGAAATAATCACAGATCAGGGCAGCAACCTTATGTCCCAATTTAGGAAGGAACTGTTGAAAATAAAAGCCTTCAGAACAACGGTGCCATCCCCAATCCGATGGGCTGGTAGAGAGATTTAATCAGACCATGAAAAGTATGCTGCAGAAGTTCACGGCCTCGAAACCTCACCACTCGGACCAATTACTTCTGCCACCCCTGTTCACTGCCTGGGAAATCCTATGCCTATTGAAATCAATGGTGAAATTCCCATTAACCTTAATGATGCAGGATCAGGCCTCTGTCACCTACTTCCTGGATGACCTTGGGCATGACACATGATCCCTTTGTGCTTCAGTTCCCTACCTCACAAGGGCATGTGTGAGAATAGATTCATTACTGTGTATGAGGCATTCTGCATGCGGATACTTTGGTGAAAATGAATGGGGTCTGGGAGTCCAACACCCCTGGATATTCAAAACTCAAGATAGCTTTGAAAATCTCAGCCCTAAAAGGTATTTTAATTTTTTACCCAAACCTCAGAAAGCTTTGAATAGAGTCAGGCTAGATGTGAGAGCCAACATTTAGCATTTTCCCAGCTCTTTACCATCTCAATATAAGTCCTGTCCTAGATGGCTTGGTTTCTACTGTATTTCCTAATGGGCCCTTTTTCACATTGGAAATCAGCGTACAAGGCTGGAATAGTAGGGGATACTATTCAGGGGCATTGGTTAAACTGTGTGTGGGGAGTCCAGGACTGGAAAAGTAGGGAATGCCACATAGCAGCATTATGATGCCTTGACAGAGATGTGTGTGAGAAGCCAAAGTTTGGCATATCTGCAGGGGGGAGGCTATGGGTCAGGACTAAGCTAGATTAGCATAGCTGTAGTAGGAGGCCAGGACTGGAACAGTAGGCAGTGCTGCAAAGGAGAATTGAGATACATCCGCAGAGCTACATGTGAGGAGCCCCAGATTGGAATAGCAGAGGATGCTGCCAGGCAGATGTGAGATGCGTTGGCTGCATATGGGAAGCTTGCACAGCACTTCTCCACATAGTGCTTGGCTCTAGTACTCTTCTTGACCCATTTTTTGGGGTGTGGGAGGGAAATGAATGAATGCATTATTTTATTATTTTTAATCCACTAAATGAGTTATGTGGTTTGCCTGTCTCCTAATTAGTCTGATAGGAAAATAAGTATTTCCTGGCAATAGCAGCCATCAGAGCACACATGTGGGAGGCTGTATCTTTTTAATGACACCCACACACTTACACATCCTGTCAATTTTAAAGCATATAAGAAGCCTTACATACTAGAGAAAGCAAATGTTCTCAGCTTTATATTTCTTCCTCATTACCTTCTTGGTTTCCCTTTTTCCCCATTAAAATGATCATCATTATTGCACACAAATTGCTTGAATATGACTCAGGTGTACAGGCTCCCAAGAACAATAATATAAAAGTGGGGTGTGTGTATGTTTCACCCAAGATTTTGCACACAGCTAACTCGTGTATACTCCCTCCAACCATCCAAGATTGCGGCTTCCCTGAGCAAAAGTCCACTACCTTCTTACTCTGTATTTGCCTTCTGCAATGATTTAAATGCTGTCACTTGCTGCTGTGCACAGTGGAAATTAACTATTTTCCTTATAAATCCAGACTGGAGATTAAAAGACTTCAGCTGGGTCAAGACACCTACCAGACACAAACTCCCATAGCTTTTAATTGCCATACGTCTGTAACA